TTGCGGTACGCGGGCCTCTCACTACTGTGGCCTCTCCCGTTGTGGAGCACAGGCTCCGGACGCGCAGGCTCAGCAGCCATGGCCCACGGGCCCAGCTGCTCCGCGGCATGTGGGATCCTCCCAGACCGGGGCACGAACCCGCGTCCCCTGCATCGGCAGGCAGACTCTCAACCACTGCGCCACCAGGGAAGCCCTATTTATAGTTTTTATGAACTCTGAATTTAAGGATGTCCAAAGAAAAAAACAAAAATGCCTTCAGAAGAACAGTCCTTTTCACACTACTCATGAGAAATATCTTGAAAAGTAATTAATTTATATTCACATCAGAGAATACTCTATTTATAATTTCACTCATATTCTAAGTTATCTCAAGCTAATTATTGGAGGGAAAAAAACCCACAAAAGAAAGTTGTAGTTTATTCCCTAAATTTGAAACTGCTACATTATAATGAGATGAAGACAAAGTAAAAGGGGCTTTGCATGCTTTATTTTACTTAATGCTACAATAGCCCTGAAAGTATTATTATCCTAGATCTAGATCTAAGACATATGTATTTTTAATCCCTTCTCATTCTGTATATATACATATCTATATATATCTGTGTGTGTGAACCTATAAGAATATATATATATATAAAATATATATACTCATATATAAAACATATGAGGAACCTAGGAGAGACAGTGTAGAGCTTGCCTCAGAATCTCCCCACTGAGGGTAGGGAAATTGATGCATTTATGCACTGATCTCCCGTCCTTCATCGGTAAGAGTCGTGCCTGAATGTTAACTCCCTGGCACTTCTGGCCTGCCCCAGAAGGTACAGCACACTCCAGCTACTCGAGGAATGCAGGAAGCAGTAGGAACATATGGGACCTTTATTCTAGCACCGTCTTGGAGGGAGACAGTGGTGTGTGTTGGCACCTATATCTGCTACAACATCCAAGTGCAAGTGTCCTATAGACGAAACAGAGTGGAAAACTCAGATATGGATATAAAGACTTGGAAAACTGGACAAAAAACAGCATTAAAAGCATATTAATTAATGAGACTTTAAAGAGGATAACTGTAAAAGGAAGAACATTGTGGTAATAAATCTTGACTACACAGCCACAGTGAATGAGCAGAAGAAAGATGATAAACCAGCACAGGAGGCCAAGGATGGTCAGAACCAGGAACACCTATGGATGGATCACTGTAGCTAAGATTTGAAAGTACATCATGGCACTTCGGAATACCTTCACAGCAAGTCTTTTTTTTTTTTTTTGCGGTACGTAGACCTCTCACTGCTGTGGCCTCCCCTGTTGCGGAGCACAGGCTCCGGACGCGCAGGCTCGGTGGCCATGGCTCACGGGCCAAGCCGCTCCGTGGCATGTGGGATCTTCCCGGACCAGGGCACGAACCCATGTGCCCTGCATCGGCAGGCGGACTCTCAACCACTGCACCACCAGGGAAGCCCACAAGTCTTATATTTACTATGGCTCTTCAGAAAAATAGTTTACCTAACTGCCTATACTTGAAAATTTTGGAAATTTTGAAGGAGGATAGGACTGGCATTTTCAAAAGGTGATCTGCTCTGGTTTTCCTTCATTTGGCTACAATTTTGCTTTTAGTGGGCACTCAAGTCACATGATCATTTCTTCCAAAATGCCTTCCTCGTGTCACAGCAAAAGGAAAGCAGTGGATTCAGGAAGGATAGGTATGAGGGGAAATGAGAAGACAAGAGATACCCTCATACTGTCTTTCTATGCCATGAAAAATAGGCAGAGTTTTGTTGCTATGTCCCCAAGGAAAAGTCTGACCTACCTCTTATCCCTACATCATTATAGTATTTTTCAGAAGAAACTTCCAATTTTAGATTTTAAACTAGAGAATTCTTAATGAAGTTCTCATTTAGTACTAGATGATTGGTTAACTTTGTTCTGCTTGTTATTTGTATGCAAATGTTTATGTCAATGAGTGTTTTCTTGCATAGGTTGAACATCACCACCTCATCTTATTCACATTGTTATATGATGCAAAACTCTTAGACAGTGAAACTCAGTTCTGCTTCTTCGATATCACACATTATTTAGTAAGGACTTCCAGATTAACAGGGTTTTATTTTGCACACCAGTGGGAAAAAGGGAAAATGTCTTATAATCAAGGAGTTCTGATCATCTTCCTAAAATTGAAGACAGCTTGGCTGGACTTAGCTTAAATTGCTAAAAAATTGCGGAGACTAGAAAGCTAAATAACAGTGAACACTGTTACAGTGACAGTATGAAACTGAATACGAAAATAGACCCTAAGCAAGAGAGGTAAATCTATGCGTTTACCTAAATGGGTGAAAAAATGGTTCTTGACAAGGGAAATGAGATGGTGAAAGGATATTAGAAAGAAAAAAAGGCAGTTCTAGCAGCTGTGGTTAAGATGGGAAAAGAGGCAAGGGAATGAATGTGGAGAATATTGCTGTGAACCCACTGAATCAGAGGAAATCAAATTCTTGGAGAGGAAAAGGGATGGGTTAGAGTAAATAATGTCACAGAGACTTGAAAAAATGATTGGGTAGAAAGAGAAAAAAGAACAAATGGCAACAGAGAGTAAGGAAGGGAAGAAAGAAGGGAAAGAAATTAGAAAAAAAGATGAACATTTGTATTTCAACCTAGAGGTAATGGGAATTATTCAGGGGGTGGGGCAAAATTAATCTATTGACATGAAAGTCACCTTGATATTTTTTTCATAAATTCATATATTAACATAATTCATTTCAATAACTCAAGTATCTATTTTGCCTCTGTTAGGTACAAGGCACAAATGGTAAGGCTGTGAAATTGTGAACAAGACAGATTCAGTCTCTGTTCTTTTAATATTAATAGTCAAGTAGAGTGTCAAAGTTCTGTCAATTCTGCAGACACACCATTCCAAGGATGACTTTAACCACACGTGCAAGACCTGCTCTGTGTCTGTACATCTGGTTAATCCCCAGGTTTCCTTGGGACCTTGGACATGAGGCATTTAAGGAGGCCTTTTTCCAGCATGCACGTGACCCAGCATCAATGCCATTGCTCTAAGTGTAGTCCTGGTGCCATGCCTTTGTTCTAATAATGGGGTTTCTGCCCAGATCTAGGCACCCCTCTTCTGATGACTGAGTCCTTTCCTGGTTCCTCATGCCTACACTCCCTTTCTCCATTACCGTCGTCATCCCAGGTCCTCCTTTTCCTTTCCTCTCTACTGCCGGGTATTACAGTCATGGTGCCCATGCTCTGTGCAGCCTTGTTAACAGCTGACCGAACAGTTAGCTGCCTCTAGCTCACTGCCTACCTGACAGGGACTCTCCATTTCTATTTCTCTTGACCATGACTTCTCCATTGCCATTCTGCCCACTGTGAACACATGCCTGTTGCCTGGCCAGTCACTGCTGCAAGGGAGCTGAGTCAAGAAAGTGAACATTTAGCTTTTTCCTGTCTGTGTAGTGGAGACATCAAGGGTTGGGACTGAGTGTAGTATCAACCAATATCAACCTATATATGTCTTTTTCTATCACGGTTCTGATTATGTCATTCTTCTGACTCCCAAACTTTGAATCTCAATATGACTACCATTTAGTTCCTTACCTGACATTCAAATCCTTTGATTTGTCCTGTTTTTCCAGCACTATCTCCCACTGATTTTTCATTAAATTTCTTTCTGGATGTCAGTTTGCACAATGCTTCATCCAAACTGAATCAAAACATTTACTTTTTTCTCTTCAAATGTGTTTTCCTTCGTTTGTCTTTTCTTAAACCAGTCTTTTCTCCAGAACTCCTTCTCTCCTAGCCCCTATAGATACACTTAGTTTTCACACATCCAAATATGATAACCCTTCATACTTACATGTTACTTCTTCCATCAAGGTGTAGTTACTCTCCCTTAGCTGAATATAATTTCTTCCTTTTGCTGAATCCCCACAGCATTTTATCTGTACACCTTTTTATATTACTTTACACTTAAAACAGAGG